GAGAGATGGCTCTGTGGTTACCAGTACTTATTGCTCTTCCAGAGGATGCAAGTTCAGTTCCCAACACCCACACCATGCTGCTCATAACCAGTAACTCCAGCTCCAGGGAACTCCAACGATGCCTCTACCGATTTCTCGAGGGTACCCACGCATGAGACGTACATGCACACAGATGTATATACATGTCTAAAAAAATAGAGCGTCCTCCTGATTGGAAAAATCATACAAGAAATTTCCTCTAGTCTAAAAGAATGCACTTTGGTCATGGAGCTCTGAGCCCATGCCACTGCCTCTTCGTACCCTTCAGGGGAAAAAAAGATCATTCTCCATCGTGATTTGGCAAAAATGAAGCAATGTAATTGTAACACAACAGTGTCACAGGATCCATGACACCTGCTTTGGAAATAAATCTCCCGGTTTTGTCTCCCCCTGTATTTTCAATGAGTGTTCTAGCATTGTTGTGGCTGCATTAATCTACCAGCAGGGAACCATTATCCTATGACAACAGCCTCTCCCATTAACATTATCTTTTAATTTTAAGACTGTTTAGATGACTGCTAGAAGCTACTAAATTAAGACAAAATGAAGAAAGCATTATTTTCCCCAAGCCAAGTATTCAGTCAAATAACCCGCCTTTGATCCTGACTGCTCTCGTGAAAGCAACACCATTATTTTTATTTCAGATTTCAAAATATTATTTGGGCGTAAGTTGAAATTTCTAGATATGTAGACATGTTTTAAATGGCATCTAGGAAAATAACCATTAAATTGAAGTTATTATTTATACTGCTTGCCTTATTCCAAAGTATATATTAAGAGTTGGAAATACTGTTATTTTTCTAGGAGGCAATTGTTGTAGTAAAATCAGACAATAATGAAATCACAATGATGAAAACTCAGTAAAGGAATAAAAGAAACATTTGTCTAGTAGAGTTTACTCTGGGAAATAATTGAATTTGGAGAATGTAGCAAAAATGAGACAGGAGGAAAACAAACACAGAAGATAGTACAATAGAATTGTTGTTAAGGGCGGATATTATCCAATAGTCTAACAAACTTTAAAGTGATAGTTATAGCATGTTGAACAGTATCTGTGAGTTTTATATCCATATATTACAAGATTTTCAAATAATAACTAACTTAGCTAGTATTCATTGGATTCAAGAGGTCTCATATCCTATGGGCTGGATCCTGATACTTGAAGTGATGCAAAAATCTTTCTGTATGTGTTTTGTTTCCCTGCCTCTGGTTCCCTGATTCATCATAAGCAGAGGCTAGAATCAATGTAAACAAGGGATGCATCTATATAGCTCTATGACCAGTGATTTTCCACATTCGGGTGGCAGAGATCTGTGATTCCCAGTTCCCACGAGTAAAGCAAACAGAAGAGAATTCACAGACACTGAGTTGCTGTGTTAACAGAATCTCTCTGGGGGGAATACAGACATGCTTAAGTTGTGAATTGTCCCATATTGTTAATGTACTTCAAGTAGGCCATCAATATGTGTCCTATTTACTGATAGGCACAAAATAGGTGGAGGGAAATCAATCAAAACCCCCGTCCATAAATTATCATGACTTCTAGAAATTATCAAAACTTCACTGGAGTGCCATGTGCAGTCTTCCCAGCAATGAGTTATAGTCAATAATTCACCCCCTGACTGGGCTGATAACAGACAGATATTCTAATAACGTGCAGGATTTACTGCCGGACACCAGGGGTACGGCGGAATTCCAGGGCAGTGCGAACTGTTATCTCAGTGGAGAAAAGCAACAAAAATAGGCAGGAGACATCTGGGGACAATGTTGGGATATTTAAACCTATGCCTAGAACAAACACACCTTAAAGGTAGTGTGGTTTACGTTTTCATTTTTAAGAAAATTGGTTCCATGGCATTGTTCTTTAATGACCCTTCTTGGCCTCATTGTCAGAGAACACAGCAGATGGCTCCGGAAAAATGCTGAAAATAAAGTCAATTTTATTCTTTGGTTCTTCCCCCAAATTTGAGGTTGGCTTCACTTGACTATTTAATTTTAAAGGACATTTCTTTAAAAAAAAAAAAAAAGTCACCGTAGACTAAAAGTCTTAAATATATTTTCAGTGATTTCTTATCATACAGAGAGATCAACAAATTTGCTTTCTCTGTCAGAATGTTTTGAAGCTAGAAAAGAAGTGGTGATTCATCAAAAACAATTTTATTATGAAATTTGATTTATGTTGGGAAATATAAATGATGACGTTATAATGTGTACCTCTGCGTGGAGGGAACACATTTTAGTCAATTGAGTTATCCAATTTTATTATTTAAAAAAATCCATATCTGGTTGTTCTTTTTATTCGAAAAAATTTATAGTGCTATATAGAGTAGAGATGTGTGTTTTTCAAGGCCACAGACAGCTATGGATTGTACTCCCCTAATTCCAACAGTCATTCATTACAATGAATAAATATTCTCATATTTTCATCAATTTCTTTGTGAGCAAATAAGAACTAGCATTATATTTAAAATAGTACATTTCATTAGAAAACTGCACAGAGTTTTAAAAAATCTTAATTATATCAGTACTACAATTAAAATGACACTACAGAATTTGTGGTTTAGACAGCTTAAGATTTCTGAATTATTATCCCTCTTTTACCGAAAACAGAGATAACAAAAAGGAAAATGAATTATGTTGTATGGCTTTAATTTTTATGTCAATAGGTTCTCATTTCCTTTGTCTTGAAGGGGCAATAATTGATTTTAAACAGGATCACTGTTTTTGACAGACTATATAATTTTAATGCATTCAGCAGTATTACATACACACACATTTATACTCTCTCTTGTACCTATTATTAAATTAAATTTATCCAGGAAAAGTTTTATCTTGGTTTTTTTTTTTTTTTTTGGTTTTTTGAGACAGGGTTTCTCTGTGGCTTTGGAGCCTGTCCTGGCACTAGCTCTGTAGACCAGGCTGGTCTCGAACTCACAGAGATCCGCCTGCCTCTGCCTCCCTAGTGCTGGGATTAAAGGTGTGCGCCACCATCGCCCAGCTTATCTTGGTTTTAATAAGCATCACTTGACCTATCAGGCCAGCTCAACCCACAGTTCTCAACCTGTGGGTTGAAGTCCCTTTGAGGTCCAAGGACCCTTTCACGGAGTCACCTAAGACCATTGGAAAATACAGATATTTATATTACGACTCACAACAGTAGCAAAATTACAGGTACAAAGTAGCAACGGAAGTAACTCTATGGTTGGGGGTCAGCACAGCGTGAGGAGCTATAATCACATTGGGTCATAGCACCAGGAAGGCTGAGAACCACTGCTCTAGTCTGAGGGAACACAGCGAGCCTCTTGCAAAGAATCTCTTCATTGCTTTGCACAATATCACCTGTGCTTGGAGCGTTAACAGACTCCAGTCTTAGATAGGCAGCCTGGAGGAGCCAAATTTCTCCAAATAAATTGTCACCATAAGATAAATTCTAAATGAAGATGTACCTATAGTTCTGAAGCTGATTTTGGGGTGTAGTGAAGGCCTTTCTTTTTTACGAACCCACACGAAGAAAATGAGTCATCTTTCGCAATTATAGCAAAGTTGCCTTGCTTGTTGGGGAAAATACAATTCTGCACCCTTTTCCCCTTCATCTTTCCCACCTTGCCGGTCATTGCCACGAGTTCCACATGCCCTAAGAGAAGTTAGAAGCAGGACCTACACCTTCAGTTAGAGCGCCGGTTACAGCAGTTTCAATGTGATAGCAACACGCATGCTTCCCTTTTCTTCAGCCACGTTCTGTTCTTATTCCAATAAAACCATTTTCTTCCCCGTGGTCTTAATTCCCTTATAAAATAGGAGTTTGGCTAAAACTTTCTATCTAAAACTAATTTGGTGGGATATATCATATTAATCATTGAGGTATTTTTTTTTAATGTTCTAATAAAGCGATTGCTTATCCTTGTACCATGCGGACCCTTCTCTCTTCCTTCCCCTTTCTTTTCCCTCTTTTTCAAGAGTTGTTGGTTTTTTGAGACAAGATCTAGTGTAGACTTTTCTGTGTAGCTGAGTTGACCCTGTATTTCTAATTCTTTCGCCAACCCCCAAGTGAGGGTTACACATTTCTGCTACCACACCTGGTTCCTGCAGTCTTTGGGATCCAATCGGCTACATGCTGCACCGACGCCCTGCCAACTGAGTTATATCCCCTAGCCCTCCTTTTTTCTTGTTCCTTGTTTCTTTTCTTTCCCTTCCCCATTCTTCTTTTGAGGGTCGTGCTGTCCCAAACTTCCCAGCTCAAGCAGTCTTCCTACCTCAGCCTCTCAAGTAGCCGGGACATTAGGCACGCACAACTGGCAACCCTATTCATCTTTAACTGTATTCTTTTAAAGGCTTCAGATTTTCCCAGGCCCTAGGTACTGTATTCTCCACACCCAGCCAATAGGAAAGCATAACCTACCGCCTAGTCTTTGGCATTGGTATTTAACTGGTTTCGTCCTTCTCCACTGGGACCTTTGGAGTTCTAAGATGCCAGAGTAAAGGTGGGCAGTCCCTTTGTAATGGAAAGCCTTCCTTCAAATATACAGCTTTTCCTGGGCTTTCCAAGGGCACCACCTTTCTCCCAGGCCGCCATGAAAAAGAGCTGGGCACTTGTCTTGGCATTGCCATATCAGAAGGACAGACAGACAGAGCTTCTGCTGTCCGTGGATTCTTAAAAGACTTGTCACTGGGGAGCACAGAGTCCATGAGGGAGAGCTCAGCTGAGAAGATGAAGACAAACAATTTTAGGGCAAGCAGGGAAAAGGAGGGCTTGATTTAGGATCTACATGGTTCTTTGGTTTAATTAAGATAACAACAACAACAAAAAAAAAACTCTTGGGAAACAGTTTTTTTTTCCTTTCTTTTTGATAAAGTGCTATACTTTTGTCCCTTACTTTAGGTCACTGAGTGAATGATGAATATGTGATGTCCACAGAGTCTTCCCAAATCAACGGACACAATGAGACATTATCCCAAGTTAGTTCATTTTATTTGGTATCAGAATTATTTCTTGGTGCTATTTTTTATAATTGTTTGAACAATTCTATTAAAGAGGGCATCAGTGCCTTTCAAGAGCTTGCATATGTTCGCCGTTTTTGTATGTTTAGGATCAGCAGAAATCAAAGAGTGACCCGGGGTTCTTCTCTCAGGAAGGTACTTTTGAGATCACAGGCAGAAGGACCTGCATGAGAAAGGGCTGCTTAGACCAAGGATGCAGAAATAAAGACTACCCAGAGGTGGCGCTGTGGTTCAAGTACACCTGGATTTTGATTACAGCGAATGGATTCACTTCTCATCCTTCAGAGAAGATGGTAGCCTCCACTACCTTCGCTTTCTATAACCACAGTAACCAATAAATGAAGCCTTCGGGTGGTATATTCCCGCCCACTCCACTTTGCTAGAATATATATGCAGACTTCACACACAATTAGAATCAAAACATTAAAACCGTCCCTGAAAGAGCAGGCCCCATGAAGCCTGGAGACACATGTTCAAAGTTCCGTCAGTCCCTCTTTCCTTCCTTCCACAGAAACTGCCTGGATCCTTAGAAAAATCATTCCGTGACAGCTGAGTATATTCCCCGCTTACATTTATAACATTTTATTTTAGAATTAAAATTTCATGTTACTGTTCAGACTTGAGGAAATGCCATAACTCACTATGATGCTACATGGTATGTGTTCTGTTTAAAAAACAAAAACAAAAAAAAAAAGCTAAAAAGGGGGGAAAAACATACGGTTTAAGTTCTTCATTTTTTAAAGATAAGAAAGTGATCACAAAGAGATGGAACTCTTCTCCTCTGCCGTACTCTAACACAATAGCAGTCGCTGAGGTGCCAGCTGAGCAACATGGCGCAGGCCCCAAACCCCAGAACTCACTAGGCAGAGGCAGAAATACCTACTTTGGGACTGGTCTTAAAAAACGAAACGCCTCGTGCTTACCTCCTTTTGGTTGATGTAAGTTATTAACGAGTCAAAAATGAACCCAGAAATTACAAGGCATTATTTCCTCACGGTGTCCTTTCCTCCTCTGATTTTTTTTTTTTTTAAATCTTTCCTAAATTGGCCCGCTTCATCGTGTTCAGCTGCTTTGCTGCACAGGACATCCCAATTATTATTCTCACCTCAATGATTTGTATAAAAAAAATCCTTTTAATATGTGCCCAAAGTGACACGATCATATGAATGCCACGTTAAATACAAATCCATCAGGATAATTTTCAACTGTAACCTGCTCGGAATTCAAGGGGCTAGAATATAGAAATGGGTATTTTTAACTGGCATTAGACTCATCCTCGGCCTGGTTTCATGGGCAATACTTATTCTTCTGTCCTAATTTTGGCAGTTTAAAGGACCGAAAATTCTGCACACACAGGCAAGGACTACTAAATCGCCTGATTTTCCTTCAACTTTTTTTTTTTTTTTTTTTTTTTTTTTTGCCGTCCAGCAGGCCCGTGTGTAATACAGTAAGAAAGCTTGTCCCACAAGGCTGGTTGTAGTTAATGATACTTAGCAGCAGGGCTTTGCACTTCCATGATAATTTCCAACAGAAAAATCTCTCTGGAACTTACTATTAATAATCAATCCTAATATTAACCTCAGATGGGAGATTTATTAAACCTACTTGGCAGAATAAAGTCGAATAACTAGATAGTCGAGGACCTAGGCTGAGCTCTGGCCCTGGAAAGAGGCTCCGAAGCTAGCATTCCTCAAATCTTGATATGAACCGGAAATGAGTACTTTTCCTTTCTTAGGGCTGTGAGCTAGCAGGTCTTGCAAAGGCTTGCATTGCTGTAGGGGGCTACGAGAGAGCTAGCATATCCACACTGAGGGAGAATGGCGAGCAAACGCTTTCTCTATAAAGTTTTCTTCATCTCTGAAAACCAGGGATGTGATCTGTACCCGGCAGCAACAGACAAGCATCTGTGAACTGCCTGCTCCATCCAGTTTACACCGGGGTTAAAGGGAGCAAGATGGGGTTAAGCAGGCAGTACTTACGTAGGAACTATTTCCCACTTTCCCTAAGGTTTTGAAATCTGCAATCCCGTGAATTAAACAAAACAAGAGCTTTTGCGCCTGTGTGAAGTCTACCTCCCTCCGGCAGAAAGAATCCTGTACCCTACCAGGAAGAGACCCATTTCTGGGAAAGTAAGTTTCCCGAGGGTCTGCTCTCTGGGCTAGGGAAGGCGATCCCCGAGGCCCTCCGGGGGTGGCTCCACGCGTCCCCACGCCCGGGCAGGTGTGGTCCCGAGCCTGGGCACGCGCTCGCTGGCCGCGTCCTCCGCGCCACCGGGATCCCTTCTCGTCCCCCCCCGACCCCGGCCCCCCACCTTCCCGGGCCGGGCCCGCTCAGCCGCCCGCCTCGCTCCCCGCCCCCCGAGTCTCGTTTCAGTCACCCTTTGTCCTTCCCCGGATTGGCAGGTTTTATTATTCCGCCTGAACAATCCGGCCGCCCAGTGGCTGAGGGTCGCTGACGTCGGCGGCAGAGCCGGGGAGTAGTTGGGATTCTGCTCTGTCAGTAACACATGTGTAAGCGCCGCCGAAGGAGCGAGCGAGCCGGTTAGAGGCCCGCGCCGCCGCCTCCGAGCCGGGCAACAGCAGCGGGGCAGCCGATCGGTGCAGCGCTCCCGGCCGGCCCGCAGCTCTCCACTCCGTGCGCCGTCGCGCGGGCCGCGGGGCCGAGCTTTCACCGCCGCTCCCGGGCCGCAGGTCGCGGGAGGGGGGGGCAAGAGCTCGGCCGAGCCGCCGGCGGCCCGGAGCGGGCGGGCGGGAGGAAGGCGGCGGCGGAGGAGGAGGAGCGCGCGGGCGCGGCGGGGGCGGGGGCGCGTACAAAGTGAAGCCACATTGCCAAACTTGCAGCCGCGATTGCAGCAGTGGCTGCCGCTGCGCCGCACGGGCCGGGCCGAGGGCGCCTGCAGCTGCTCGCGCGCAGCCGGGGGCTGAGGACCAGGACCCGCGGGCTGAGACTTGTCACTTCTGCGCTGGGCCGCCTGCCACTTAGCGTGGGGCTCCCTCTACCCGCCCCAGAGCCACGCGATTAAAAAAAAAAAAAAAAAAAGCAGCCCTTAGCCCCCTCCTCCCCTTTCCTGCTTCTGCGAGAACTCCCTCCCTCCCTCCAGCTCCGCCGGCCCCGGCGCCCCTGCCCTGGAAGCCGAGCGGCTCCGCTCGCATTTCGCCGCCGCCGCCGCCTCTCGCAGTATTGCAATATAGGGGAGAAGCAGGTAAGGGGGTGGCTGGGGGCACCGCGAGCGGGGAAGGGGTGAGGCGGGGGGGACTGGTCGGGGCCGGGGCTGTTTTCTTTGGCTTCCTTCCCTTGACCGTCCCAAATTGCAAGTAAACAATACGTCGCCTTAGATAATGCGTGAGTCTGAAACTACGAGGCCGGCCTGCGAGCTAGCACCGAGAGCAGCCCCGGGCCGCCAGCTTTGTAGCGGTTCCTTGCTTACAAAAGGGTTCTTCTTGGAGACCGGGCTGGTGGGGACCCTCGAGAGGTCTGGGGGCAGTTCCAGTTCCTAAAGGAAAGACAGGGGCTGCTTAGATGAGAAGTGACGTGTGCGTGGGTGGGGGCCATAGTCATGACCCCCCAACACTATTTGAAACAGGGACCGAAAAGCTCTAAGTGACCAGGATCCGGCATTGCCTGTTCTCTTTTTAAAAAGAATTCCTCTTGGCTTATAAGTCTTTTGTTCCAATCCAGGAGAAATCCGGTGAATCACCTAATTAAAATCAAGACATGAATTAAGCATCCATTTTTGTACTACAAATGGCCAGCGCTACGTTTGTCCCTCCCTTGGTCTCCATTAAAAAACACCAGAGACGTTGTTAAAGGGGGGCAGATTTTGCCTCTAGCTGCCAGCTCTGCTTTCTATTTCACTGGCTATCCCAGGACCTAAATTGCTTGGCTATGTAATTACTAGAGTATAAGCCTATTTAACTTAAAAGCTTTCTTTCTTTTTTTTTTTTTTTTCCAACTCTAAATGAAACTTGATGAGGGCCCGTCCTTAGTTATCAGGGGAGTCAGTTTCTGGTCAGTCCTCTTGATTCATCTCTTTTAGATTTAATCAGCATTAAGGTATTGCTTGTCCTTAAGAGCTTTAGCTAATGGGGTTACTGGATGCTTTTCTCAGTGTAATGTTTCCTTTTCAAAAAAAATACATATATATTTACCTCTCACTAAAGATGGGGGCGGGGAGCAGCTTGGAATCTCCTCCCTCCCCTTTTAAAAAGGAATTCGGAGCTATTAAAACGTTGGGGGGGGGGACAGTTTAAAGACCTAGGGCAGGAAATGCAGATTCATTTGGGTTAGGGCTGAAATTGTAACAAAAAGCAATTCCTCGAGTAAATGCATCAGATAAATCAATTTACATAAAGGTATGATGCATTCGGATAAATGCAATGCTAATGGGTTTTAGAGCGGTCCTGTTTCCAGAGTCTCAGGGTTTTGTTACAGCTTAATTGGTGCAGTTCTTATTCTGGTTTATTGTGCGGTCACTGGACACACGTTCCGGGACTCTTTCGGAGGAAATGTGTTTGAAATCGGCCTATTTAAGGAACCGGAGTCCTTCTCTCGTTCCTTCTCCCCTGTTCTTTGCTGCAGTTAAGTTGGGCTGGGGATAGACAAAGTTGGCCCTCTCCCTTCTGAGGTATCTGCTGAATGTCTTGGGGAGCCTGGGGGAGCCCACACTCTCGGCATACAGAGGACAAAGACAAAACAGGCTGCTTAATTGGCAGTAAATAACTTGATCTTTTTATAGAATAAGTGACTGGAGAAACCCTAGGACTTTATTGGACTCCGGATTGGAGGCAACAAATTAATGGGTTTAAGCTAAGCTTTATAAATTGATTCCTATATTATACTCCAGTTGCTTCTCTTGTGGCATTCATTAGAAAGTGTGTGGGGGGGGTTGTTTAAAATCAGTTTTGGGTGACAGGAGGACTGGCTTGAATTTAACTTGTGTGTCCCTCAATAGCGCCTCCTCACACAGTATCTACTCCCCCCCCCCCCCGGACAAAGCTCTAGCATTTAAATTGCTGATCAAGGGCAGATTAGCGAGACCAAAGTGGAGAGTGTTTGTATAGGAAGTTAACAGGCATCCTAAAGTTCAATGATCTATTATCCTTGCCTGTGTCCTGAAAACACTCATTGATCTTCAAAATGAAATGAGATTTGGAACAATAATGGGAGATGGCGGTCACCACAATGGCATGTGAAAGGTGCTGTTTAAAATACGAAAAACCAGTTTCGCAACTTTACACCCGGCACCCCCCCCTCCCCTCTCGCCACCTAGCCTCCCCTCCCCTCCCACCACCTCCAACTCTCCCTCGGCCTTTCCTTCCCTCCACACCCCCGCCACCCCCCACCCCCCACCCCCCACCCCCCCGCCTTGCAGAAAACCCCTAACTATTTGCAACTTATGAACTGCAGCCTCACTTCCCCCGGCAGAGCTTGGGAGGGAACGTGGCTGCGGCGGGCGGCCACCTCCAGCGGCCCGCGGCTGGCTCGCGGGGCTCGGCGGGGGCCGGGGAGGGGCCGGGCGCGGCGGTGGGTGGGTTTGACCCTCATTTGCTGGAGGCGGGCGGCGGCGGGAGGAGCGGGCGGAGGCGGGCGCTGGTGGAGGGGGGGGGGGGGAGAAGAGGAGGAGGCGCCGCGAGGGGTGGAGCGCGCCACCGAGCCTGGCTCTCGGAGTTTTGACAGTCCCCGAGCTGAAATTGTCAGCGGCGGCGAGCGCTTTGGAAAGTTGAGAGCAGCTCGTGGCCCCAGAACAAAGCTTGAGAAAAGTAAACAGGCGGCTGCTGCCGGCGAGCCTCCCTCCTTCCCTTCTCTCCGATCGGCCTCCTTCCCGCCCTGGCCCTGCTGCTGCTTCTCTTGCAGCCACTCTGGGGGAGGGAGGCGGGGAGCGCGCTGGCTTCAGGCGCCCGGAGATCGACTTCTAACTTTTGCATCGTACGTTTTGTCTTTTCTCTCTCCCTAGACCATGGTGAACCCGGGCAGCAGCTCGCAGCCGCCCCCGGTGACGGCCGGCTCCCTCTCTTGGAAGCGCTGCGCAGGCTGCGGGGGCAAGATTGCGGACCGCTTTCTGCTCTATGCCATGGACAGCTACTGGCACAGCCGCTGCCTCAAGTGCTCTTGCTGCCAGGCGCAGCTGGGCGACATAGGCACGTCCTGTTACACCAAGAGCGGCATGATCCTCTGCAGAAATGACTACATTAGGTAAGTCCGCTGCCTTTCTGCCAGATGGGTGAGCACAGCAGGAACAGGTCCAGGGGTTACCAGGGGTTTAAGGAAGGAGCGGACATCCATGGGGATTCATGACAGACTTCACTTCAAAAAAAAAAAAAAAATACAAAAAAAAAAAACCCACCCTTTAGTTGACGGCATTTAAGGGACTCAAAAAAGCATGTGTTAATTTTACAGCATTTGAAGACAAAGTAAGGCTAAAAACTCTGGTCTGGTGGTATTTGGGCGGTTAAGTGTCCATGGTTGGGCATCCTCTGGAATAAATTCTAAGTGTAGCCTCAGCTTAGGCTTCAGGTTAAAAAAAAAGTAAGCCTGTCTAAAATGTAGGCGTTCAGGTGCTTTCTTAGAGCTAAGCAGGGACTCACACTCAGAGACAAAAGGTTTATTTAAAAATAAAAGTGCAGTTAGTGAGAAATTATTCGTCTCTAGTGATGGCTAATTATGATATTTACATAAGCACTTTTCAACTTTTTTGAGCGGAATGCTGTGACTCATTCTTTGTGCTTGTGAAAAAACACTGATTACCCATCAGTTTAAAGACTTGTAATTCTTTTTATAGTAAATAATAATAAAATAAAAACAAGACCTAGTGGCAGTGTTTTTCTTCATAGGCTCACTGGAAAGGTTTGTCAGAGTCACTGTTGGTGTGTGGCTTTTGGTGGAGAACCTGGTGTTTTTTTTTCATTTGAAGAATGTTGGGGTTTGTTTTTTTTTTTTTTTTGGTTGTTGTTGCCATTTGTAGCAGTGCCCTTGATCCCCCAAAGAGACTATAGGATTATGCTAATCTTTCAATTTAAAGCAATGTATAGGAACAGTCATGTCCTCATAAGCAGCCTTTTCCAACAGGCTTCAGGGCAGCTAATGGAAAGAATTCAGGAGGTCAGGTGCCTATAGGATCTTTTCAGGTGAACTCAAGCTACTTAAACTCATTAATTGGAAAGGAGGCATTTGAAGGATTACACATTTAATTTGAGTAAATGGTTTGATAGCCTGATGCACGTGAACGCTTCTAGGAGGTGTTCTGTTTCAACATCCAGTAATTAAAAAAAAAAAAAAGACAGGCACACCGATACTAGAAAAACACACACTTAAAAGAGTTTCCTTCTATTTGTTTCTGCTCTAAACCTTTGTCCATAAAGTGATTAGGAAGAACGTTCAGTTCTGTCTTCATTTTGGGGACAGGATATTTTACTCGGAATCTTGCTTGTCTGTGTTTGATGCTGTGCACGATCCCAGTGCAGTTTGGAGCTGAGGATGGGTGTGCTTGCCTCTGGTGCTATCATTAGAGTGAAATGACGTTTGGGTATTCGGATCATGCAACCTATATCCACTCGGCTAGCATCCTCCATCAGTCAAGTGAAAGAAGTATGGGAGGGGGGAGCTCTTATTTTTAAATTAATAGGGCTGCATTAATTTCACTAAGTGTTCTTTTAGAAGTAAACGTTGGGAAATCAGCAGGAGCTTGGGTGTGATGCTTTCTGGTTCTCCTTCCAAGCCGAGCCATGAGCTTTGACAGTATTAGAATTAAGTGGAGACAGAAGTGTGCTAAGAAAGGAAGGCGGATTGAAGTGGTAAATGGTGCAGTTTCAGCTAAAGTGTCTTCAAGGGGGCGACGACCTATCTTTGCTTCTGACTACCACTAATTAAACAGGAGATGGGTCCACTTGGATTCCCACGGGACAAGTTTAGGCAAGTGGCTTCCTGGGAACGGAGTCCATTCCTTTCCTTGTTCTTGGGGCCAAATAATAAATGCCCTTTTGGCGTTTTTCTTAGGATCTAGTGGAGGATGTGCCCACAGCTCTAAACCTTAAATAATCTTGGAGTCTTGCTTCTTTTTGCCTCTGAACTTTTGGGCTGGAATTTGGCTTGCTCTAGAACTAGATGCTACCCTGCGAAACTTTTGTCTGCCCAGGAGAGACGGATTCTAGTTCAGTGCCCAATGGCTCATGGACAGCCACACACTTGGCTCAGGGCACCTCAAGCCCAGCCTCCTGTCTAGCCCCATAGAGATAGATACCTGAAGGCCTACTTTTCTCTCTGTCCTTTAAGGAAGCCAAAGGGTGAGGAAATGAAGGATGTGCTGGCATTCCTTTCTCTCCCAGACATCCCCTCTCCCAGACGCCCCCAAATCCACTTGTTGGGGTAGCTTTCAGTGCTTCTGAGACCAAGGACAAGTGATGAGTGGCGCGGTCCCTCTGCATGTCACCAGGTGAAGAAGACCCCTTTGCCTGGCTGGGACCACAGTGCAGTTTATTAAGGGGCTTTTACATGGTCTCACTTTGAGTTTTTTTGTTTTGTTTTGTTGTTGATTTTTAAACAACCACGATCTGGCTAAAAAGCTGGGGGGGACCTGGGCGAGCCAATGGGAGGATGGGGGTAGAACGGAGAGGGAGGTGTCCCCCCCCACTACCTCCCCCATTCCGTGGCCAAGTGTCGATTGAGCAGAGCTGGGCTTCTGCTCCTCTCCTTCAAGATTTCAGATAAAGCAGCGGCCTTGCTGCAGCGAATCTGCACAATTAAAAGCTTTAATTAGTGGCTCCTCCATTTTCTTAGTTCTGATGGGCTTTATCTAATGAGATCTGGTCTCTGGCTTAGATCTACTCCGAATGACGTGTCCGCAATGAATGAGAGCTTCGTCGCAAACAAAACATTTAATTAACAAAATTGGCCTCTAAGAGAGGGAGGGAAAGGCTGGAAGCGGGTGTAGAGAGGAGGGGGAGGGTGGATCTTAAAGGGACCCACGTCTGCCTGGCCCCTCTACCTTCCAAAAGTCGGGGAACCTTACAGCTGCCCCCTCCCTTCCGCGACTCCCGACCCCTCTGCACCACCCAAGCGCCGTGGAGTAGCTTTGCAAACTCCCGTTTCCCCTCTTCTCTGTCCGCTACGCTTTCCTCCACCGCCACTTCGGGCCCGGTGACTGGCGCGGAAAGTGCGGCCAGAGAAGGAAGTTCGGACGCCGTCGGGTGGGGCTCCGGTCGGAGCAGGCGAGTGGGTGGGTGGCGGGCCGGGTCCACGGTGCGGAGCCGCGAGGGGGCGAGCGCAGGGCAGGAGCCGGCGCGGTGGCGCTGGTGTCCCCGGCTCCACTCGGGCGGTTCACGTGGCGCCCGCAGCCGCAGTGAGCTGAGCTGAGCTGAGCTCGGGGCCCGGGTTGGGGGTTTGAGGGTGGCCCGAGGTGGAGGGTGTGTTTGGGGAGGGGATTCGTGTTAGGAAGGGAGACGCCGCCAGGCAGCGAGTTCATTTCCCTGGTAATCAACAGCAAGCTGCTATATTCAGAGAATGCTGTCCCTTTAATTGAACAGGCTAGGTAATTAAATGGCACTTTTCCAATAGGACGTGCTAGGTAAATCTAATAGTTGGTTATTTAATATCACTTTGAAGTCTGCCCACTCAAGCACAATGACAGCACAGGAGCATGTGAACTATTAGCTAGGAAAAAAAAAAACCCAGGATCTCAAAAATTAATTAAATCGCATGCAATTTAGGGGGAACGTTTATCTTGATTTGTCATAACAGAATTAATTCAAGGCCTCCAATTCACTTGGGGGCAGATCTGTTACTCTGAATTAACCAAGCGTAATTTGGCTGATTTTTTTTTCTCTCCCTCCCCTCTCTAATGCAGTGGTTGCGATTATGCACAGCCCCCCTCTTAGGTATAAATAGCTTCTGGAGCTTTTAAGGTGCGTGGACTCTAGTTATTCCGAAGTACCTTTAATGGACTTGGCTCCAGGCATAATTTCTGGGTTGCATTTCTTTGTTACGTTTAATATAGCTGGTGCAGAATTTAGATTAAATATAGGATCCTGCTGGAAAACCAATTGCTTCTAGATCAGTAGCTGCGGATGCACATTTTTCTCCTCAGATGGGTTGCTGATATTTACTTGCAGGTACAAATGTGTACCTTTCAGTCACACTCTGGGAAAGGGACCTCTCCGGTGCCTGAGAGCAGTGTAGAAAACACAGCCAGGTAGCGCTCCATATTGCATGGGTTTCGCTTGAAGTAATAATGCCGCTGAAAATAAGTCCACCTATTGGTCATTGAAGTTACCGAAAGATGCTAAGCACTGACGTTGAACTAAAAATACAGTTTGTTTCTCCATCCCTTCCTGTCAGCAAGGAGGTTTGGAACCGAGCCTGCAGACAGGACTCACGTCCTCGTAGGCTTCAGATACGCAAGACACCTTAAAAGTGGGATTTCATCCCATCTCTTCCCTTTCTCCATGTAAAGAACCTCTTGATGTTTGTGATTGATTGCATTGCCCAAATGCTGAAATATTAACGGCCTTCTTGGACTGAGGACCCAAAGAAAGGAAACTGAAACCAATTCTGTCATCACAATTAAAGACTCCCCTGGCTTTAATTAGCCTGACCTGGGGTATATCTCCCGGTTGCTTGAGTTAAAGAGAAAAGAGCCCATTATAGTCCAGTCTGAGACCGATAGCTACTTAATTGAGCACCTAAAGCCTCGAGCCTTTTAAATCAAACACTGTCCTGGACAGTCCCCATGGTTAGATAATTAACTCTCGAATGCACAAGGAAAAAAAAAAGACAACTTTTCAAAAAAAGAATAGAATTCTAATGGTTGTCTTCATCTCGGTAAGAGATTAGAGTGTGTTTGAGATGTGAGTTCTGCTCCCTCTGAAGCAGCCTCAATGCTGTAGACTCAGAAGGGTCCGAAACTCCATTAATACACAGTTTAGCCAAGAGC